GTTTGCTGACTGTAATCTATAAAAATTCTTCAAAATCTACAATCCACAAGAATGTGGACACAACCCTTTTCATCAAAGTTTCCCACTTGAACAGCCGACAAGTAGAATTCAAACCAACAGTTACAACATTGGCACCTGCTGCCCCCCATGGATTCAATATTGATGATTGCGTGGCTCACAGTCAAGCCATCCATCAGTTAGCCCGCAAGATCCGAGAAAAGAGGCTTATGTATCACATGGGATTGAAAGGTAATCCGTTCTCGTCTGAAAGGAGATTTCTTTCCTTTCATGTAGTAGAGACTTAAGAGAGACATTGTGGGCAGGGGTAGATCTTGGGAAGGATGGGTAAAAGGCACATGTCCTTAGTGCTAAATGATTTTTCCTGTAATATTCAGAAGTTGGTTCCAGTCTATTGGAATAACTGCAAAAACTGCTTCCTTCCCAAATTTAGAGAGAGAACACCCAGATGCATGATGGGAGTTTTTCCTAATCAGTAAAATAGTTCCATTCTTGTGTTGAAGCCAGAATGCTGCAATGACTTGTCTGTATCCCATTTTGTGTTTCAAAAACCTTTCTTTGTGAATTTTGTTGCCTTATCACTGTTGCTTTGCCTTGCATATAATTCTTTAATATTGTTTTTTTTTTTTCTCTTTTGTTTATTGCAAACTTTATCATCACAAAAATGGTCAACAAGTTCACTCTACCCCTTTAGTTTGGCATTAAGGATTAAATCATCTGGAAACAATCAACACTTATTATATATTGATGGTCTTTACTTTTATTTTTGATCGAGTAGGTCTACTTTGAATTTTGGTCATGTAGAAGTGGATAGAGGCACCATTTTAATGGTTTTGCTGTGGGATCCACTTTCTATAAGTAGGCCAATGTGCAGGTGACATATTTTAAGTGGTAGGGAAAGATATGAATTAGAAAACAAACAATATGAATTAGAAAACAAACAATTCTGTCTGAAATCATAGAAAATAAGACAGTGATACCAAAATAAACATTCACTTTTCTTATATAATTATTTTCCAAACAGCCTCTTTCACCGTAATGAATTATGAGTTGATCAACCATGACACACCTTAGCTAGAATATTAGGAAGCTTTTCATCTAACATTAATTTATCATCTTGCATTTTAATAAGATCTACCAAGAAAGTATAAATGTTATAAAACAGACATTTTTATATTGAAATTATATCCAGACTCATTAGGGTGAGTGACTAATTCATTGAGTGTGTTTTGTAAAAGATCCCTTTTGTGTTCACATAATCTTATTTAAATTCTTTCAAGTTTCTCCTATGTATTCCTTGTGGCAATCAATACAAGTAATAGAGTAAATATCTGCTTCATATTTTAGGTTATTTAGTTTTGTATCAATTAAGTTCTGTCTATATTTCTGAGGTATTGTAACTATTTGCTTCATTCAGACTGTTATCCTCATCTTTATTGCCATATTCACAACAGTTTGGTTGTTATACTCTCCAGCTTTTTTTTTCAGGTGGTATACAGCGGAGTTTTGAACAGAACCATTTATTTAGTCCAAGTGGGTTGATTAATTCATGTAATCTTTGGATATCTCTTTTTTTCAATTAGTTCACCCTACTAACTGAGTTTTATGTTCCTTCTGCTGTGGCCAGGTATTGAACTTTCAACTTTTTGGGTCAGGTCACTTTTTGATGGACCATGTTTGGTTTGAAATTCCAACGTATATCACCTGAAGAAGGCCGGAGCAAACAACAACTGAAATCTGAATATGACAATAAAGATGAGGACAACAGTCCAAATATTGTAAATAGTGTTAATATAAATATTGGTTTAGGAGGAGTTGTAAAAAATTTTATGTTATGCTTCGATAAATTCTTTTCCATAAAAGAGTATTGGAGCATCTTAAGTATTATTTTTAATATATTTCTCCTCTTCACAAAGCAGTTTCTTACAACATTTCACCTTTTTTTGGCATATCTTCTGTTATTGTAATGTGGCATACTTAATAACAAAAATGATAAAAAAAGTGTTGGAAAGGAATGTGTCCAAATATGTCTGATAAAAATTTTAAACTCATTGTTTCCATATATTCAACATTTCCCTCCCCCCTCATAAAATAATTATAACTGACATTCAAGTTTATATCATTCTATCAATAAAAACATTAATTTATTCTGACAATGTTGTTCTGGAGGACAAAATGCATTATAAAGAATTTTTACACTTATTTAATTACCTTTCATTATTCTGATATATAAAAATTTATATATCATCCAATTCTTTCATATGTCTGCAGGTTTCAGGAAAATCATGACAAAAACCTACTGTCAACGGCTTGTAATGGATTAAAAAAATATATAATCTTCATTTCAGCAAATGAATAAATTTTACTTGGTCTAAAATTAATGAAAGTGAACATTGTGAAAATCAACCTTTACGGATGGCAACAATCCATGTACAAAATATGAATGACACATATTTGCTACTAGATAGCATTCAAAAGAGCATGCTAACAGTAGTAATTTGTCAATATGTTGATAACGAGAGAATGTCTACTGTATAAATAGAAAGTTGGATCAAAAATGTACCAAATTTACTGAAGCGAGTGATTGCACTACTCAAAAGTATTTCAGTGGGGTTTGCAATGGAAATCAGTCAAAATAAGCTGCACTACAACAAGGATAGGTTGTAAGCATTGGTGATGACAAACTGAGGACTTGTGTTGAATCTAATCCACTTCAAACAATTCAGGTATTTGCATTAAATGTCATCAATTTTTTCATATTGGTGTAGAACAGTTTTACAGAGCTCGATGGCACTGGAAAACAAATATATTAAATATTTATATGTATTTTGAATATTTTATAGACATTTTAAAATGCTGCCATCTGCAGTGAAAAATATTTTGTTTAATGTGGATGGTTTCTTTTCTGTAAGAAATACCCAGGAGGTTGCCAATGCAACTTGTTCTTGATTGAATTCTTTCAACTGTCTTGGACATCATCAAAATTATGAATAATCTGTTGATAAAGATTTGCAATAACCTATGGAAAAGAAAAAATTACATATTCATTATTATTTGAAATGACTCATTAGCACTTAGGCCAGCTTTTTGATACTTTTGAGAAAAATTTAGATATTAACATCAGCACTCAATGCAAAATATAACAGAGTTATAAATTATATATTAATAAAAATACATTTTTTCTTTTTCTCACCAGTAGTGCAACACAGAGTTTCATGCATAATGCAGTTTTCAGATACTGAGACAAGACTTAACTGTTGGATAATTTAAATTTTGTTAAATATATCTGGTTGTTGCAATAAGGAGGCTGTCCATATTTTATACAGGGATTGTTTTTTTTTTTTTTTTTATTAAATTTATTTTAAATACAAAATTAACTAAGAAAAAAATTATGAATTTTTTTTTACATAAAATAAACAGAAAAGCAAAAACCTACACACACACATCCGCAAATTACTTCAAGTTATAAAAGGTAGAATTATCTAAATAATCACATCTAAATATTTATCAAAAAAAAAAAAAAAAAAAATTATTATAATAAAGTTATACACCAATAACATGTTACATCTACATATGTAAATTATTATGTACATGTGAACTACTTCTAGAATACTGTTACTATGGAGACTCAGATTTATCTTTGATAAAAAAAAAAAAAAACCCCCCCCAAAAAAAAAAAAAAAAAAAAAAACAACAATGGTATATACAGAGATGATGGGATAATTCTCCTTTGTAAACTGAGACTAAGACAAGTTGGCCAGATGAGAAACATTACAACCAACACCAATGCTAAAGTGATCAATTTCCTAGACATTACATTTGACCTGATTAAGGGCATGTATAAACTATACACTAAGGATTCATACAACCACAGGTTTGTCGACAGAAAATACCACCACCATAAAAGAATCCTTGACAATTTATATTATTATTTAGGTTATCAACTAATTCCAGTAACAAAGAAATATTTGACAATAATAAAACTAAATATACTAAAGTGCTAGAATACAGAAACCATAAAGTGAAATTAGTGTATGTAGAAAGAAAAACAGATAAAAGTAAGCTAAAACAACACAAATGTAACATCATATGGTTCAACCTGCCTTACAATAGCAAGGCCCAAACTAATGTGGGTAAAATTATCCTAAACTTAATTCAAACACTTTGGTCATTCTCCAAAACTATAAAAGATTTCCAACAAAAATATTAAGGTAAGCTATAACTGTACAAAAAAAAAAAAAAAAAAAAAAAAAAAAAAATCAATAATTATATATTGCAACATAATATACTAAGCAGGCACCCAAGCAAAATACTAAATAATAATCCTACTAAAAGTTAATGCAACTCCCATAAAAACATAACCTACCCACTAAATGGCCAATGCATGACTGAAAGCATAATCTAAATAACTTGGATCAGTTCAGATAATGATGTTAAATATTACTTTGGATTCAGTTGGAAATCGCATTTTAATCACCACAAAATGACACAGAACAATATCAAATACAAAAAATGCACAACATTTTCAAAGTATGTTTGGCAATTAAAAACCAATTATAAGAACCCAACCATTAGCTGGGAGATAATCGTGAAAGATAATCATGAAAGCTAAGGCATACAATGGAAAGGGAGATAGATGTAACACGTGTTTGTTGGAGAAGCTTATATTAAAATACTTAAATAACCCTAACTTGCTGAACATAAAAAGCAAATTGATCACTAAAAAAAAAAAAAAAAAAAAAACAACACATCTGCTCAAGCACACTGACCCCGATTAAAATAGATTTCAAAATAGACTTTATGAATATTAATATGTAACGCTAATATTGATAGAACCCAGCATTAATAAAAAAAAAATTTATAATAATCTATAGACACATGTAATCCCATATTACCATACTCTATTAATCTGTGTATATTTCCCCTTTGTAAGTATAAGGTTACGTTCCAAACACATTAGATATATAGTCTTAACCTATTAT